AACTAGATTTATTGTATTCTAAGAATCATATTTACAATATCTTGCATGCGTAAATGCAAATTTGTTTATATTATTCTACGATTTGCGTCAGTTATTATCGATTTATAATTCTAATGGGTTTACTGGAAAGCTATGCCATACATATTTGTATTATGTACAAAAAAAATCAAAGGTATAATTGAAAACTGACAAAATAGAAGAAGTGTATAAGTGACTGCACTAAAGAATACGCCATAACTTCACGCCTGTCTCCCATGGGGGTAGGCAGAGAGTATGGAACGCCAATTGCTATGATTGATGATGATACCTCTTTCGCTTCATCACCAGTCATCAGTCTTTTCATGCATGCTCGTCGGTTTGACTAACTTACTTTACTGCACTGAAATAATCTAATTACTTTTTTAACCGCCATTTTTATTAACATATCAGGCTCCTTTTTTGAGGGGGGCAAATTATCCAATGAGGTGAACCCAGACGGTGTGTCAGACTCTTACTGACTAAAAACCACCCTGTTCCTACTACATACTGCACTTCGAGCCGGAGCCCCGGCAATCCGTTAAGTCCGCAGCTACATATCAGGCTCCTAGAGATACGAATATTCACACGAGCTGTATATAAAAGTTTTACATAATTCTGCTTCTGGTATTCAGAATTCAGAAGTCAAGTTTACAGTCAGGTTATTTAGAAAAGCCGTAAGAGAGAAAATAATTTTCAAATTCAATTATTTTTCAAAGTAAATATTTACATTTCAAAGAGCTCAAACCAACGAAACAAACTTGGTCTTATTAAGTATATTTTTTATACCTTTTCAATTATAATAAAATTCCGCGGTTTCGGAAGAGAACCTTACTTATTCAACAGCTTTACTTGGATTCTACCGATGTTAGAAGAAAATTCTGGAAAATTCCATATTAAAGTTGTACGCAAAAGTATTTTTCTCGAGTCGTCTTATAAGTTGGCTTAACATTGAGAAAGAAATCTTGGAGTAAATATAGATGTAGGTTCGCAAACCATGTACCTACGTAAATATAACCTGTCTAGAATTGATGGTTAAAATACTACGGTCTGAAAAGATTTTTCCACCTTTTTCTTGGCTAATGTTCAAATCAAATCATATCATTTATTTGCTAATATGGGTAAATTAAGTTGTTGGCAGATAAATAGATACAGCTGAGTCCAATACAGTTTGCACTATTGCACTGTTGCTAAGGTACGTTGATCTTTTCGACTTAAGCATCTAAATTGTAAACTATAAGATTCCTTCTACACAAGATTCCATCTGTTAGTATCTCTATCTGACTATCAGATTGTAAATCTGTTAGACCAAAAATGTTACTAAAACCCACTTTAAAAATTCTTCCCAAACCAAGTTTTCTATGCCACTTTGAAATTTCCACTAAAGCAAACAAATCGCCTTCATATATCATCTCCCAAGGTTTGTGTCCAATAAATTGCCTACATAGCACCTGCTAACTTGGCAGAGGTCCGAAGCTTACTATAAGAGCCTAGGTATACCACTAAACCACTTAGAGCATTCTGAAGGACATTACAACCTTTGAAGTTTTTGCTTTCGACCAAAAACTAGGGCATTCAGTAACGTATTTTCTTTAAGCTTTCTGGACCATTAGTCTTTCGTCTGCCGGTACATGATACCATAAAGATATATTGTGTCTTGTTAGGATCTGCGTTTTGCCGTTCTAGAATAGGGATTAGTGTATATGGACCGTAAAGGCCTCGTCTTGCACATACTGAAATGGTCCCATTTCACCACAGACTTGGGTCATGAACATTTATCCATCAGTACCTACTAATAGAATAACACATCTGTATAATAATGTCACTTGTTTTTTAGCGTGTGAAATAAAGTTTTTTTTTGAAATGGCTTGTTGTGTATCTCGGTCGTCGGTAGTCTTATAATAGTGTTTCTGTCAGTTTCAATTGAATTGTAATGAATTCAGTTGTATTTGTAACTAATTGTTTTGTAACCTGGACTTCTGGGAATGGACTCTCGAATCCTTACTTGTGTTTTCATGTTAAAAGGAGCGTTTTCATGGTACACACGGCCACACATCAATCTATACAAAACCAGTTTATCCTGGTGTCGCGTCGCATCATCTTTCCGCACATTTCACGTTCAGTTTATACTGGTTATGTAAAGCTCGATGTGTAGCCGTGTGTACCTATGCATTTTGTGTCTAGAGCTCTAGATACAAAATACTATAGGTACTTTCAAGACTTCTCATCACGAATTAAAAGTATAAAAGTAGTCTGCACTTAAAAACTAGATGCATTAAGTTGCAATTTGCAAGATACAGATCCTGACCTACTTATCTTTTAATTAGAAACGTGGGCGAAGTTCACGATTAGTTTAACATTTAAAATAGTTGTGTACTGAATATAGTGTTGCTTAATTATTACAAGATTTTAACGACAAGCGGCGCCTTAAGTGAGCGTGAGCTTGTATTAAGTTCAAGTTGGAAATACGACCTTATTATGTTATTAGTTATGACATTTCTGATGAAAATTGTACTCAGTGTTAGGGTCTAAACAGACGAACAGTATATCGACTGCCACTGCTAAAATGTCGCGGTGGCCCGGAGTTTAAGACGCTCGCTTCTCATGCATGAGGGTGCGGGTTCGAAACCTACCAACGGCAAGTACCAATGTGACTTTTTCCGAGTTATATGTACTTTCTAAGATTATTCAGACACCACTGACAAACTGGGAAGGAAAACATCGTGAGGAAACCTGGACTTATAATTTCTAATTATAAGTTTGTAATCGCCAACCCGCATTGAGCAAGCTTGGTGATTAATGCTCAAACCTTCTCCTGTGAGAAGAGGCTTTGCTCAGCAGTGGGCATTTATAGGTTGTTGATGATGATGATATCGACTGCAATCCAATTGCAAATTGCACTTCAGATGCAGTCTGAACGCAGTTGACACGACTGCATTGATACTGCGTCCGAACTGTAATTTGCAGTTGAAATGTGGTCTGTCTAGAGCCTAGTGGACATATTTATGATTATCCAATAAGAGGACCCTGGATCGATTTTTGTGTTAAGTTTTATTGGGTTATCAATTAAAGCAGTTCTTAGGATTAGGACCAACACAGAGTTTTGAATTGTCTCGATTATGTAGCATTAGGCTCACCTCTATTATAAAGACTTATAGAAAGAGCCGGCGAAAACCGGGTGTTACATTTAACAGAGAGCCATGCTTCGGCAGGTATGGGCCTTCTCGATCGGAATGATACTACGTCCTCACAGAAAACCGACGTTAAACAATGCTTGCGATGTGTTTCGTCGTGTGAGTGAGATTATTCCCTCTCCCAAATTTCCCCAATCCACAAGAATCCTCAAATTCCTATTCCCCAAAATGCCGGCAACGTATTTGTAACCTCCGGTGTTTTGGATATCCATGGGCGGCGTCGATTGCTTACCATCAGGTGATCTGTCTGCTCGTTTACCGGCTTATCCGATTAAAAAAAATACATTTTATTATTTCGTCTATTTTCGTAAATAAAAAAATAGTAAAGCAATTCCAAAACTTACAAATGTTTTTATGCGTAAACAAATGTAATAAAATTGTGATATCATAAAGTAAATATGTCTCAAAAGTTATAACGCACGACTAGTATGAGCAATCAAAATAAACAAATAAGTCGGGAAAGAAGTAAACAAATATTATGTTTTGTGTATTATGAATATTGTATTTCTATTTACTCAGATTTATTACATAACAATACGGCAATAGGCTCACTCCCTGTTACATGGGACTCATAACATAAATAGTGAAAAGTAGGTGTTACATTGTACAGTGGCATTAAGTGCCGCAATGTGCACCTCTGCCTATCCCTTCGGAGATAAAAAGTGTGATGTTATGTCATATTATTACATAACGATATTAGAAACAAACATATTATTTACTAGCTTCGCCAGCGGTTTCGCCAGCGCGCCCGCGGGTTAAAGGTAACTTAACGTAAACGTAACCTATGCGTTTTTTAGACAATAATCTACCCCTGATCCAAATTACATCTCGATCCTTTCAGCCGTTTTGACGTGATAGAGTAACAAACACACACACACGCACGTGCGTGCGTGTGTGTGTGTTTGCGTGTGTGCGCGTGGGCACACGCACACGCGCAAACATTCATCTTCTCAAACTTTCGCATTTATAATACTAATGGTAATCCTACTGATAGGATACTAGGATTAGTAGGATAGTAGGATTAGCATTGTGATGATCTTGACGCCTATCAGAAGGATTGGCCACAGAAAGCTCTACAAAGAGACGAGTGGAAGGAGAATTGGGAGTCGTGGGCAGCAGCGGGACGATCATGGGTAATAACAAAAATTGACATTGTGACGATATATTGCATAATGGCTGGCGTAACTTGTTAAGAAGAGTTGAAATTAGTATTCAGTTTATAGAGGTCAATGGCCAGCTGTGAACTGAAGGGGCTGATGATAATTTATCAATATTTATTTAAGCAGTTTATATAAAAAATAGTATTTACTCTTTATGCAAATGCATTACTCGAAGGTTATTTAATATTACCAAAAGATATTAGGTACCTGTCAACCTTTATCTGACGCAGAGACGAAAAATTACAGCAATTAGGTAGTAGCAGTTTAGGGAAAAAATATATTAAGTACGACTTTTATTTTTGATTTCGGTCGATAAGTTTGGTGAACCCGGTTTATTAGACGGAGCACCATAAAACTGACATCTACATTCATCAATAACGCGCTACTGAATATCAACATCTCAAAACACCAGTCCCTGACATTACCCTAGTGGTCTATCAGTGTCTTCTATATAAGAGGGGCTTGTCATAATCTTCACGCTTCTTAGCAACCAAGATGGAGATCCCTGTTCAAAAATGTTAAGGTTTATCAAAAGCCGCTGCTGCTAATATCTCTATCAAATCTGTATAGGTAAAACATCTGTGAAAAAGTCTATAATTACGAATAATAATTGATTTACCTTCTTTTCTAGGGAATTCTCCGTCCTGCCAGGCAAGTCGTGTGACGGGTACGACATCATCTACCATCGGCTGCACGACACGGAACCTTCGAAGTACAATCTGGAGGCTGGCTGCAAACTGCTCTTCATGACTGTGGGTAAGTCATGTTAATCAGTCAGTTATTTTGGTGCTACAAAGTGATATCCATAAGCTGGTACAGGTAACGGCTTTCTAGAAGGTGGTTTGTAAGCTGATATTCTACTTCAGTGCCATAATATAATGCGATTTTGAATATTAATTATGCTTGACAATATTTCCATGGTCAGTTTACGTACACAGGACATTAATGTTACCCATAAAATATCCACAAGAAGCGTCTCTACTTAGGTATCTATTCCATTTACCTAAATGATATTCACAGTTCAGCGAAATTTGAGATGTAGTGAAATCTAACCGCTGGAAGCCTTATTAAATTATATCAAGAATCCATAGCAAATATTGTAGCTCCAACCGAGCTAGACGTGTAATTAGGCCCAAATTCTGTCTTAAGCATCAGGAGACCTTTTAAGAGGGATATTAAATTGGTCTATAAAAGCAGTTACCAACACGTTAAGCTAGCCTTAGTGTAAATTGCTGTTAAACTGTCAAATACCAAGCGGTCACCGGTGACCGCGACCTATTGTTCTTTAATTGTGTCTATAAAACCGGTACTCGACGAGTTAAAGTAGTAAAATGTCTTGCAGATGTAGGTTAGATCATAAAATAGGTTTTATGGTGACGTACAAGGAGGAGGAGACGGTTGACGCCGTGGCTGGGCAACTGGCTGCCGCGCAACGAGTCGCGGACTCGATTTACGCACGGAACAACTCTTTGTGTAATCCACAGATTGTTGTTCTGGGTCTGAGTGTCATGTGTATGTGAACTTGTATGTTTGTAACCGCACCCACGACACGGGAGAAAATCCTAGTGTGGGGCAACGTTTTTTTCAATATTATGTAATGTGGATACGTGTTGTGTTTATACTTAGTCTACGTCATCAGTGGAGTATCTCAATTTTAAGGGCTTCAATTTATACAGTACTAGCTTTTACCCGCTGTTTCGCTCGCGTCACAAAAGGATAAAAAGTAGCCTATGTGACATATAACGATATACACAGCGCCATCTATACCAAGACTTTTGTTTTCCCTCGAGAATATCAAAATTTTCCGGGATAAGAGTACCCTATTATTTAATCTGGACTTACTTTACGTCTGCAAAAATTCAAAGCAATCGGTTTAGTAGCTATGGCGTGAATGCGAAACAAAGAAATACTCACTTTCCGATTTATAATAATATTAGTAAAGATTTTTTGTACAAAGTTATTGTAGAAAGATAGTACGGATATATTGGACATTGGCTTCATAAAATCCAAGGACAAATTCCAAGAGATATATCTCTAACTCCTTGTTAAAACTTAAAAAAATATCTGTTATTCATTATTTGTATCAAAGGTTCGTATTCAGGAGTTTTGGTAACAATTCGACTTTGACTCGAATATAGTGCGTTCACTGTCATTAAATCATTATAATTTATTGATGCTAATATGTCATTCATCAAGAAACTTATCGTAATACTAATTGAGATAGCATATTTTTAGCAAAATTAATGTCCGACTGGCTTTATTGTTTTTACCGTGAATGCAGGGTAAAATTCTTGAATCTATTCTTTATTCTTTAACTCGTCGAGTACCGGTTTTATAGACACAATTAAAGAACAATAGGTCGCGGTCACCGGTGACCGCTTGGTGTTTGACAGTTTAATCATTCTTATTTTAAGTGTGGGAAAGCCATGCTTCGGTACGAATGGGACGGCTCGACCGGAGTGATACCACGGCCTCACAGATAACCGACGTAAAGCAACGCTTGCTTTGTGTTTCGTCGTATGACTGAAGTTATCGGAGGCCCAATTACCCTCCCCTTCCCCAATATCCCCAATCCCTGAATTTCCAACGATCCTTAAACTCGTAATCCCCAAAAGGCCGGTAACGCACTTGTAACGCCTCTAGTGTTCCAGGTGTCCATGGGCGACGCCGATTGCTTACTATGATATCAGTTGATCCGTCTGCTCGTTTACCGGTTTATGCCATAAAAAATATAGGTCAGCTCAGGAACCCCTACTGTGAATGCCTGTCAATACGACGTCGGTATTCCTAACACGACATAGAACCTGGATTTATTAGGAAGACAAATAGCCAAAAGTCTATGGAGATGTCATCATAGATACTATCTGATAGAAATCTAGTTGTTACTTCATATTCCAGAAAGTATTAAAATAAATAAATAATACTTACTACTTCTTGATTACCTCGTTGGTCGAGTGGTCGCAAGTGCGACTGCCGGGCAAGGGGTCTCGGGTTCGATTCCCGGGTCGGGCAAAGTATGACTGGGTTTTTTTTAAATCTCAGTAGTAGCACGAAGTCTGGAAATGTGCCCGGTTTTGGTAATAGGCTCACCCCCTATTATATGGGACTTCATAACATAAATAGTGAAAAGTGGGTGTTATTTCTGTGTGCATCTCTGCCTACCCCTTGTGGGATAAAAGGCGTGATGCTATGTTATGTATGTTTCTGGATAGCAAGTAAAACCGCGGGCAGAAGCTAGTACAGTACAATCAAAATGTTGTATAACCTTGTATTACAATTATGACATTTCATTTTTATTTCATTTCGCAACGTGTCGTTTAATTATTTATTGGGCCATTAACATTGATCTTCGAATGAGTCAGTGACTGTATGGGCAGGGAGGTCGAGGTTACGTGGTTAAGTACCTGTTGAAGAAGGTTTGTTTAGTCTAAATAGAAGTGAGCAAACTCGCCATTGTGGTGTGGTGTGGTCGTGGTGGCCCGGAGGTTTAAGATGCCCGCTTATAATGCATTAGGGCGCGGGTTCCAATTCTACCAATGGCATGTACCAATGTGATATTTTCCGAGTTATATGTAGGTATGTACTTTCTAAGATTATTTAGACACCACTGACAAACAGTGAAGGAAAATATTGTGAGGAAACCTGAGCCTATTTTTATTAATTTCTAATTTTGAAATCGTCAACCCGCATTGAGCAAGCGTGGTGTGAAACAGGCTTTTTTTTAAAAGAGTAACGAATGGAGTTTCTTGCTCGTTCTTCTCCACTCGAATCGACATTTTGGAACGAGCGCCTAGCTTCACTGACGGACAGACTGACAGACTATTATTTATTTCATATTTTTTGACGTTTCAAAAGTACCAAATTTAATTATGGTTTAATTGAAATGCTTTTGAGTTTTGAGTTTTTTTGAGTTTATTGCCCGGCAGTCGTACTTACGACCACTCGGCCAATGAGGCAATATTTAATTTCTGTGTTCAATATTATAAAATAGAATGCAACTTTTGTTTTTATGCTTTCACGGTCAAACTGCTACACTGAATATGATGAAATTCAATTTTGGGAGATTGTTTGAAATCTTGGGAAGGACACAATTTCCGTCATATTTATGAATATGTCGTTCAAAAATCTCATTCATACACATTATCTATAAGTACAATTCATATATAAAAAAATGAATAAAATAATATAAATAAAAAAAAACTCTCATCTATTGAAATCTTTAATTAACACATAATTAACCTGTTTTTTGGATTTAATGACCCAGAAACAACTAATAGTAGAAGGTCAAGGTGCATCCATTATAATATAATTAGACGAACCTAGGCTTTGTGTTAAGTTTTTACGCATAAATCGCGGTAAGACTTAAGAAAACCAGTTCAATAAAACCTTCTTTTTTATATTTATAAGCACTTAAAATCGCAGAAACGTGTGCGTGTGCGTATGTATGTAATACAAACGGTATAGTTAATATTTAATTAGCAAATATTTTTTGTAATAATTCAAATAAGTATAAAAAATACTCACTGCACTTCATTGAAGATTTTACATGCCCCGTAAAAACCTTCAATTTCGAATAAGTAAATATTTTGAGTTCGGCCACAGAATACTGTTTGTCCATATACCAATTTGATTGAATACTGTCAAATAAAAAAAAAATTGGTCTATTTTTTCCATTCTTCAGTTAAGTGTGGGAGAGCCATGCTTCGGGCCGGCTCGACCGGAGTGATACCACGGCCTCACAGAAAACCGACGTGAAACAACGTTTGCGTTGTGTTTCGTCGTGTTAGTGAGGTTACCGGATGCCCAATTACCCCTCCTTAGGCCCCGTCTCCCGAATCGGCCGGTAACGCACTTGTAACGCCTTGATGTTTCGTTTACCGGCTTATACTATAAAAAAAGGTTGTGGCTTTGCTGTTTGGTGACAGCAAATTAAAAAAAAAAAAAGTTGCCGAGACACTAGGATTTTGTCCTGTGCGTGCGTTTAATTAGAATAAGTACCCATAGATACTTTTCGCCACCATTAGGTATTACTTGTCCCATAGGCATCTAAATGATGTCTACAATTAAAGAGGGATATATCTATTAAGAGGGATATTTATAGCGTGTTTTTTTCGTAGCCTGGTTTTAGTTTAAAAAAAAAAATTATGTAGCCTATAACCAGCGGACCAATGAGACGCTTTTAGTGATACCCCATTTATCAAATTATGACCAGTAGTTTAGGAGTTAGGAGGGGATGAACATACATATTACCTACATATATAACTAGAGGGAATAGATGAACTCAACATACATAATACATATTATATTACCATCCTTTAGGGTTCGCCGTAATCGAGTAAAAATAAAAAACGAGTGTACTAATCGATTTTTTATCTCATATACAGGAAAAATTAATGAAAAATAGATTATTTAAGATAACAGTCAAGTTTAAGCATGTTTTTTAATGAATTTTTAAAATACTGGTTGAGCGTGAGTACATTAAAAAAAAACTAAATATTTTTTTTTATAACTACCCGATTTTTTTCTATCGCAATAATATTATACACAGGTGTTATTCAAAAAATATTGTTGAGGCTATTGTTTGTTTTAAATACAAGAATAGAATAATTAAAATTATGCAAATGACACAGCTGGACGAAACTTATAAAAAAACTTGCAGAAAAAAATAAGATTTGACGAAAAGAAAAAATCTTTTAACGGTATAATGACAGTGTAATTGTTAAATGACTTCAACAATAATAATTGGTAGGTACAAA